TATTAGATAATTTTTACATATTAACTACAAAATAATTTTCAGATTTTCATTATTTTGAAAAATGATGTAATAATTTTAGTTTCAAATGTTTATGTGACAAAAAATTGTTCTCCTTGTGTAGTAGTGCTATTTTGCATGTCTATACGATTAATATTTTTTGAGTTACAACTAATAACAAAAATTGTTAGTGGAAAAATCGTCAAATATCAAAATGGGAAATTGTTTAGAGGATTAAAGTAGCATTAATCCTCCCCCTTCCCATGACAAAAAATTGAATACGTGTCCTGTTCTATTATTATTATTCTTGTTAGGTGTTATGGTGGTATCGATAAGTATTTTTTGTTTATTTATTATATTGCTTTAATTTTACACAGATAAGATTGTAAATATGATTTTTAATATGCACTTAAATATTACGAACGATTTAACTGCTAGCAGCTGTTTCATATAAACACARAAAGTTGTGTAATGTTATGATATCATCTGTAATTTTCAAGCCTTAAAAACATAATATACTCGTATTATAGAATTTTGTCGAAAAATGAACAATCATTACCAAAACAAGACTGATTTTATTGTTGTAAATGATTATTTAATTAAGTAAGTCTGAAAACAGCTTTATACTATGAAACTTTTCAATTGAATACTTTTAGAAATTTTGGTTCACTTTATAGTTTCATAACAATATATAAACCAGTAAACCACTGCAAGAAATACCAAAACAAGTTCGAATTTCTTTATGTTTTAAAAATAACCTATATAATTTCATAAAAAGTATTTTTAAAAGTAATAAAATTAATTCTGATTAAAAAATGTACAAGAATAAAACTCATGAAATTCTTTTAAGAAATGGTTAAGACTGCATAATCATGATTTAGTATCCAGTAAAATTATTATTTTTTTAACCTCAAAGTAAAGATAGGGTGATTCAAAACTCCCACTCATAGTCAATACTATGAAATTGATGGTTAGATGATTGTTTCACATATTATTATTACAAAAAATTTTATTTCAATAAATATGTAAAGTAAATAATTTGAATTTAATGGAATAAAAAAACTAGTCAGTTTAATTTAATTATATTTTTGATAGGAATTTCTGTGGTAAGAGTTACTTGAAGAGTGCATTTTTAAATATTTATAGTAWTATTTATGAGCTAAATGTACCAATGTATATTGTATGGTAAAAAACACTAAATATTGAATACAAAAAAATTGTATTTATTAATTAAAGTGCACTTTTTTCTAAAAAAATCTGTTTTATTATATTTGTAGCAATTAAAATTTTAATAACACTATGRCCATTTTATTTAATAGATTATTAAATAAAACATAAGTCAAATAATTTTTAAAATAAAAAATATTATTTAATTTRWAATTATCATAAATATAAAGCACTTCAGAATAATKAACATAAATTCATTTTGTACTCYACGATCCAAGATATTCACATATTATTTTATAATAATTAGATCATTTGTTACACGGCGTATTAAATAGGCAATATAGATCCATTGACGTGTAGAATATCTAAAATTGGCCAATACCAGCAATAATATTAATAAAATACTTTAATATAATATTTTTGTGTTATCTCATACAATTTGTATATAATACTTTATATTATAATATTATAATATAATATAATATAAACACAGATTATTTGTCAGCTATTACTATATAGTATTACTGCATGCAGTTCAATGAAAACTATTGCACATATTATTTTATTTATAAGATATATATATAATATATATATACACATGATAATAAATTACGAATACAGAGATAATTTGTTTCTTATGA